AGTTAATTAAACTGCAAGCTCCCTTTAACCTTAACATTTTACAGAACATATAATTTGACCTCAAACCCTTCTTGAATATCCAACACTTTAACCCATCGTTTGCACCTCTTACCGCTATGACCATTTTCACAAAACTATTTATGAATTCATGTATGTTTATTTCTTCCCCTACATGATCGCGTTGGGCACCACCATAGTTGTTGGTAGCTGTTTTACAGTGATAAATTGGGCGATGATGGATCACATGGGTCTTTCCAAGAGTCAATGATTCCATTTGATAGGGTTTTAAACCACATCATGACAACTCCGATGAGGGTTAGTGCAAAGAGCTTACACTTTACGGGCCCATGGGAAAGGTAGTAGTCAAACCTATTATTGATGTGCTCTGCATGTTCATCAGGGTCCCCGATCCCGTTGTAGTTGTGTTGCAGCGGTATAGAGCAGCAAGAAAAGAGTAAAGATTTAATTTTACTGGGTGATATTTAGGTTATATCGTATTGTGTCCATAGAGATTGGTTATTGATTCACCGTTCAACAAATCATTCGTTAATGAGTTTGGAGATAAATGGGTTTGGTTTGTATAGAAAGGAAAATAAGTGAACATAAAAGTTATACACACAAGAAGAATTTCATCATTCGAATAGGATAGAACTCTCGAATTTGTATTTCGTCTACCCTATCACATGCTTAAACTTACTATCCAGTTGCACTTAACCTTAACTACTCGTCAATATCATCACGTATCGCTCACACATAGGTCATTTCTAACACAGAGCAAGATATCAACCGTGTCGCTCCATGTCGACGATCTCTCAGCACAACACAAAACAACACGAAAGCATTAAGAGTCGATACCTAAGTGATTACTAAGCCTAAATCTATATCTAGAATCTAAGTCCAATAGATATTCATCCTAAATCCGGATTCAATCCTTACATCTCTACGATGACTCAAACATAAACACTTAGCAAGCTAACAAGGATAAACATCAACAAAGATTTGTAAAGAAAGTTTCATACAACACCATGAGCAATAAATGTACATATAATCAATGTAAAGTTACATACAAAATCCAACAAATAATGGTTACAAAGAGAGGAAGAGGAGAAGAAACCAGATTTCTCACGGTGTCAAACACGATCCATCAAGCTCACGATCCCGGATCATCCATTTGCAAGCCACAAATGTTGTTGTCTAAGCTCTAACTATCAAAAATGAAGGTGATGAAATTTGGGAACAAATACCCCAAAAACCATCCACCCAAAATGAAACAAAATGAAAGTATAAAGATATTGTGTTCCGCGAGAATCGTCTGGTGACATAAAGCATCGCCCGATGACGTATCTTATTCACTAGGCCCAGGATAAGCCACGTCCTTAGCAGGTCAAAAAATATCCTCCATCGCCCGGCGACAGAAAGCTTCACCCAGCGACACCTTTATTCCTCATCTGGCGACGCAGCAGCGAAGCAAAGTAGAGGCAATCATCAAAAATGGCCTTCTCGCCAACTTTCGTTCGGCGATAGAAATTTTTCCCGACGATGGATGACAGTTCAACAACTTTTGTTACTTTCCTGCATAACTTCCAATTGGCTCCCATCTTTAGCCTTATTCTTCATTGATCAAAAATGCATCTTAGAGCTTTATTCCTCTTGCTCTAACAATGCTCAAATACCTACAAAATAAGTACAAAACTATGAAACGATACACTTTATACACAAAAATGAATTATACATAAACTAAACATATTTATACACAAAGTTGGGTTATTTAACCGATATTAACAACCAAGAGTCGATAAGTGCAACAAAAAGTATATAGAAAAATAACTACAATTTTCACTTATCAAACTCTCTCCAACTTGAATCATTGTTTGTCCTCAAACAAGGTCAAACAACTCAAAGAACAAAGAAACAATAAGCAAAGAATCACGAATCAACAACTTTTTAAACGGAAAACAAATGTATGATTCAAAATAAAAAATGTACACACAAGGCAGAAAATTAACACTAAGTTACAACGACAACATGAAAATGAAACAACTCCTAAATACAAAGCACATGTCAAAAATTCTAAAACAATACAATATTCATAAGTGAATCACACCTAACACACACTTCATCGGTAGATGAAAAACACAAACATGATGTGCTCAACTCTCACTCAACAATCTTGCTAACAACAACTAAATTATGCATTCATCAAATCAAATTCATATTGAAAAGCACAAAAGCAAAATCACAAGAGATTCAAAGGTTGTAATGTGGTCGGGTGAACAAACAAAAGATAATTCCTAAGGCTAATTGAAACAAAACTTGCCTAAACCTAAGAGAGTGATCAATTCACCAAATATTCAAACACAAAATTTCAATTAAACTTCTTCCAAATCCAAAATTTCACAACAAAGCACCATACTTATTAACACAACATTATTCGAACTCTTTTTGTTTTTATTTTCCAAAACTTTTTTCATTTTTTTCTTTCTTTTTCTCCTCTTTCTTTTTCACATTTTTTTCTTTTCTATTCAACTTCATAGAAATCAACCAATAAGTACACAATCATTTTTATCCCAAACTTGAATTCAACTTATTATGTGAATACTCCCTACATTCTAAGGCAAGGCAAAAATTCATACAACAACACAAAGTTGAGGGCTCAAGAAAAAAAACAACAATCAAAATCTATTCAAAAAGTGAATTCAATACTCATAGACAAGCATCAAGTTCAAACAACATGGATAGTGACAAAAGGCTCAAAGAAGTTACAAATGATCACACACTCACAAGGTGAAATTGACTATTTAGCTAGGTGGTTGTGCTCAAAATCAAACAAAATGCCTTGATAATATAATGCTTTCATACGAATCAACATAAATGCAAGATTAAACATAATAAAATTGAGTTAAGACAAAACTATCGGTCTCCCGTGCATATAGTAAACAATGGAAAGCAACCTCACAAGAGTTTAGTTCTAAAGTGATTCAAAAGTGAATACAGTTTGCAAGAAAATGAATGACATGAAAATTATACAAAAGAAAAGTCTCTTAAACATGATATGTTCTAGAAAGCGATAAATGAGTATCCGGCGCGTACCAACTTCAAAATACTATCATTACCAGGCATCCGCAAGTTGAAACATTCAGACTTGGAAAATCGCCTCTAAATTCCTCAAGACATTAGACCAAAATTGAAGTCCAAACAACAATCAAAAGAATTAGAAATATAATACTCCTACAAAATTTCAATGTACAAAATTTACAATATATACAACGAACAAAACTCCTCAAGCTAAACACGACAAGCTTTTGAAAAACACAAATTGACATAATAAAACAAATACAAATAACGATATGGAAACCAAGTGAAAATGAATTAACAAGTTGAAAAGTGAAGATTTGAAATTCAGAATATTTCCTTGTTTCAACTTATTAAAACACAAATCACCATAGACATAAACAAATACAAACAAACATACTTGTTTTACGTCGTAAGCTCGACGCCTTTATTGTGCGAGCTAATAACCTCCTCTCGTCATGTCATGATATTGTCACATCGCGCAAACCTAAAGAAAGTGTCCTAATAATCACACAACAAATGTTACAAAAACAAGACAATTCACAACAATACGTGAAAATACATATATGCACAAATATCATATACAAGTTAATATACAATTTCTATACAATATATACATTAATTAGAAAAATCAAAAACAAAAGAATTATCGCAATGTGAAATCAATAGAATCAATCTCCGACAACGACGCCATTTTGTTGCAGCGGTATAGGGCGGCAAGCAAAAAGTAAAGTATTAATTTTACCGGGTGATATTTAAGTTATATCGTATCGTATCCACAAAGATTGGTTATTGATTCTCCGTTCGAAAAATCATTCGTTAATGAGTTTGGAGATAAATGGGTTTGGTTTGTATAGAAAGGAAAATAAGCGAACATAAAAGTTATACACACAAGAAGAATTTCATTATTCAAATAGGATAGAACTCTCGAGTTTGTATTTCGTTTACCCTATCACATACTTAAACTTACTACCCAGTTACACTTAACCTTAACTACTTGTCAATATCATCACGTATCGTTCACATAAAGGTCATTTCTAACGCAAAGCGAGATATCAACCGTGTCGCTCCATGTCGACGATCTCTCAGCACAACATAAAATAACACGAAAGCATTAAGAGTCGATACCTAAGTGATTACTAAGCCTAAATCTATCTCTAGAATCTAAGCACAATAGATATTCATCCTAAATCCGGATTCAATTCGTCCATCTCTGCGACGAATCAAACCCAAACACTTAGCAAGCTAACAAGGATAAACATCAATAAAGATTTATAAAGAAAGTTTCATACAACACCATGAGCAATAAATATACGTATAATCAACGTAAAATTGCATACAAAATCCAACAAATAATAGTTACAAAGAGAGGAAAAGGAGAAGAAATTAGATTTCCCACGGTGTCAAACACGATCCATCAAGCTCACGACCCCGGATCATCCATTTACAAGCCATAAATGTTGTTGTCTACGATCTAATTATAAAAAATGAAAGTGATGGAATTTGGAAACAAATACCCCAAAAACCATCCACCAAAAATGAAACAAAATGAAAGCATAAAGAAATTGTGTTCCGCGAGAATCACCCAGCGACATAAAGCATCATCCGGCGACGTCTCTTATTCACTTGACTCAGGATAAGCCACGTCCTCAGCAGGTCAAAAAGTATCCTCCATCGTCCAGCGATAGAAAGCTTCGCCTGGTGACACCTTTATTCCTCGCCTGGCAACGCAGCAGCGAAGCAAGGCAGAGACAATCATCAAAAATGGCCTTCTCGCCCACTGTCGCCCGGCGACAGAAATTTCGCCCCGCGACGGACGGCAGTTCATCAACTTTTGTTGCTTTCCTACATAACTTCCAATTGGCTCAAATCTTTAGTCTTATTCTTCATTGATCAAAAATGCATCTTGGAGCTTTATTCCTATTGCTTCAACAATGCTCAAATACCTACAAGATGAATACTAAACTATCAAACGATACACTTTATACATGAAAATGCATTATACACAAACTAAACGTATTTATATACAAAGTTGGGTTACTCAACTGATATTAACAACTAAGAGTCGATAAGTGCAACAAAAAATATATACAAAAATAACTACAATTTGCACTTATCAAGTTGACCAACTTTAGAGGTTTCTCCAAAGATATATGGATTTCGCTATCAAGGATGCACTTAGACAACAAGTTCATGTTTCATTCCGCAGTGGGAGAATCTACATTATACCTTTATCTCCCTCGAGAATGTTGCATCGGTGATCGACGATGATGTCCACTCTTCTTGAATTCTTACATTTACTTTTGGCTTTTTTTCATTATCATGCACACTTCATTTATAGTTTTCCAAGGAATGGCAAATACAATTGTAGTAATTGTAAATTCATTTAATCTCTCATATTTAATCTCTACACACAAAAAAAAGAGAGAATAAGTACACTTTAAGGGATAAATTCCCAGCTTTGCACTTGTTTTGAAGAAGGTTAATCGCCTCTCACGTAACACAAATACAAACTTTGATAATCATACCCTTTATGAAAGCTCTTTGCTCGGGGGAAATGATTAACGGAAGGATTTTAGATAACTTGTCATCCATAATCTTTGTCACTATCTTGTGTTTGAAGTTAGCAAGGGCAATTGGCCTATACTGCTCGATGGAGTCTACATTAGGACCTTTGGGAATCAAAACAAGGAGATTTGTATTGTAGTTTGGCATAATCCATCCCTCTATAAAAAACTGCAGAAGTGCATTTAACAACATCGTCTTTTATATTCAAACTCAAAACAACATTATGCACTTTCTCATAAGATGGAAACATGGTGAGGACGTTGTTGGTATCATCTGACATCAGAGAAGGTATAAACTCTTCAATGGAATTATCCTCCTGCAAAACAGAAGATTTGTTAAAAAGATCCTTGTAGTATGAAACCACATGATTTGCAATTTTCTCCCGGTCTGTCAAAATATCCCATTCACCCTCAAGCTGGAAATACGCTTAGTTGTTTGTTTAATTTTGGCAATCCTGTGAAAAAATCATGTATTCCTGTCCCCATCAATAGTCCATCTAACCCTAGCCTTTTCTTTCCAAAAAACTTCCTCCATTTGTAAGACCGAATTAAGCTTAGCTTGAGCTTCCCTTTCTAAGGTATTAAGAGAGTCAGAATTCCCATTCACAGCAATCTGATCTTGAATATTCTTTAAGTTGTCCTCAGTATCCTTAACAGTATCATGAACATTACCAAAGGTGGAATGATTCCACTCCTTTAGCTTAGATTTAAGAATTTGAAGTTTCTTTTGCAGAATGAACATGGGGCACCCTATCACCTTAGACTTCCATGTTTCCAAGATAATGTCTTTGCAACTAGGATGAGAAACCCACATTTGTAAAAACTTAAAAGGAGAAGCACTCTTAACTTAACAGTTGAGGAACTCAAGTAAGAGCGGAAAGTGATCAGACTTGTTCCTAATTAAGGTTCTGCAGGATGTGTTTGTCCAAAAATTCAACCATTTGTAATTGCATATTGTTCTATCTAATCTCCTTTCAATATGATAAGTACCTTGCCTACCGTTCTTCCATGTGAAAAAGGCACCAGCAGTAGGAAGATGCACTAGTAAATTCTGGTCTGTCCAATTATTGAAATCATCGATAAGAGCTCTAGCAGGAGGTCTAGTGCCATTGTGCTCATGAGCACCAAGGATATAATTGAAGTCTCCCATAAAAGCTCATGGAATATTGAATTGGTTTTAGATCAGATTCAGATTGTGCCACAGGGATCTCCTAACAACCAGATTGGTAGAAGCATATATGACATACATACTAAAAGTAACATTATTATCTGTAAAAATGAATGAAACCTGTTGATTATCAGCAACGATGACCTCAGGGTCAATATTGTTAACACAACAACTCCAAAGATTAGGCTCTAAGTCATCCCTAACATTAACAGCAAACAGCTTAAGACCTAATCTATGAAGCCATCTATCCGAAAAATCTTCCACGTCCATCCACGGTTCAAAAATGAAAAGGAAATCGGATTTATTTACAAGAATGAGTCTTTTTAAAGCTAGTTTTATGGGAGAGTTAGCAATACCTCTCACATTCCAATACAAGCACTTCATATCCTGCATTAAATCTTGTGCCAGGCCTAGAGCTAGATTTTTTAATCTTCGTCTTTTTCCTAGATTTCACAGTTTGAAATCCATCAGGTGGCTCTTTAAGATTTTGATTATGTTGATTCATGTTATCCCACGATTTGTTGAGAAACTCCGTATCCTTGTGAACCTCAGTATGCACAACCACACCCCTAAGGTTTTCCAAAATTGGGCTCTGACTCAATCCCCTGAGTTGCATCCACAAATTCTGACTCTACTTCAACGCAATTGTCACTAGAAATTATTTGGTTTAGTAAACTTGCAACATATGATGACTCTCATTTTTCTATTATTTTACCTTGGTAAATTTATTAAGAAAAAAAAGAACAAAACATAAACTATGCTGATGAAGTTTGTTTAGAAATGCAAAAAATGTGAGTTTTTATTTTTCTTTATAAAAATGAAAATAAAAGTTCACACTTTGTCCAGTATACACAGTAGGTTATGAACGAATTGTTTCCCTTCCTCTTTGATTGATACCTTACCAAAAACATTTCTTCAATTTAGAAAAGTGAACTTAAGGTTGAAACCAAAGCTAAGGATTTTGCAAGATAATTTTAACTTTGTTTTTCTCGTAATTTTGTGCCAAACAAGCACTTACATTCTAACTGAAATGGTTTAACAGTGACACCATCATTAGCAGGAAATCAACTCTTAGCTCCAAAAAGTGATACAGTACAAAACGAATATACAAAAAGAAAACAATATGAGAAAAAGAGGGTCTTTGGTTTATTCTCTTCCTGGAGTTGTTATGCTAATGTGCAAGTTCATCAGCATAGTTCATGGCCAACAATATACTGAGAAAACCGTCTCAAAGGTCACTTTTAATGAGAGAAATGGCTCACTTGTATCAGCATTGTTTGTATTAGGGGATTCCTCTGTTGATTGTGGGGACAATACTCTGTTCTACCCTCTGCTTCACGGCCGTCTATCTCTTCATCCATGTAATGGCTCGGATGCCACTCTGCTTCCTCAACTTATTGGTACTCTTCTTCCTCTTTTCTCTTTTCGATCATTTACTCTATACACAATACAAAGAATATTTACTTAGTATAATGATTCCAAATCACAATCCTGAATTGCCGAATATGGCAATTAAGTATGATTGATGCGGCAGCAATTTGGTCATGAATCATGAAGAATAAGCTTGATCTATGTACATATTACCTGCAATATCTTCAAAACAAATTCAGTGTATTAATTTTTTTATTATAAGTATAAACAAAGTTAAACCAGACTTACACAGATAATGACATTAATTATTGTATTGGAATCGTCGCTGTAGCTGAGAAGATTGGATTGACATCAATCCGACCATTTTATGCTCAAAATGGATCTCTGACTGAGGTTCTTGGTGGTCTCAACTTTGGATCGACACAAGCTACAATCATGAACCAGGGAAGCTTCAGCCACCAGTCTCTCAATCAACAACTACGACAAGTCTCCGAGAGCTTGCAGCTGCTGCAACTGCAGCTGAGTGAAAACTCTGCTACTGAATTTACAAAATCATCCATCTTTTTCCTCTCCTTTGGCAAAGAAGATTACATTGACCTATTCCTACACAACTCTTCCAGCCCAATGTTAAACCATGACGCGCAATATTTTGCTACAATTTTGGTCAATCAGATGACAAATGCAATGAGGTATCTGTATGAAGCAAATGCAAGGAAAATCATATGCTTAGGTGTTTTGCCTTTAGGATGTACACCACGTATAGCATGGGAGTCAAATCAGACATCAAATGGCGATGACATTAACGGAAATGGTTGTGTAGATAATGTCAATGATTGGATCTTGGAATACAACAGAATGCTAGATGAACACATAGTCCAGCTTAATGCAGAATTTTCTGATGCTCATATAGTGTTTTGTGATGTATACAGTGGGATATTGGAGATTATAAACAAACCAAGGTTTTATGGTATGTTTCATAAAATCAATATGCTGTTTTATAGTGTATGAAACTAATAAATATTCATGTGAAGAAATTTTATAAAGTGTTTTTTGAATAAACAGGTTTTGAAGACACAAAAAGTGCATGTTGTGGACTTGGTTTGAATGGTGCAATGTTAGGGTGTATCTCTACAGAAATGGCCTGTAATCAAGCTTCATCACATGTTTGGTGGGACTTGTACAATCCTACTCAAGCTGTGAACTCTATCCTAGCAGAAGCAGCTTGGTCTAACCAACCTATACCGGATATTTGCCGTCCTTTAACCATCCATGATTTGGTCAACACCAAAACCTAGCAATAAACTGCTACTCCTGCAGCACAAGATTCACCATTTCATAACCAGTAAGTTTGACAAAATCACAGTGGTTCATACTTCATAGTGATAATGTGAATCTCACCGTCAATTGAAACATGCACAAAGTTTCAGAACAATATGGTGTTGAAAATAAAGCTATAAAGAGATAAAAGTGGCACTGCTAGGTTTGCAGAAGAAACCATTAATATATTGTAATATATTGTTATAAAAAAGGGTTTTTGTGCTGACATGATTTGTCTTTGTCTTCTCAAATTGATTTAAACAAAGCATTGATACCACGTAGTAGCGTCGATATCATTCAAAAAAGTGTGTTTGTGTCGGTGTCAATGTCCGAAGTCTATGTTTAATTTAATTATTCTTTTATAAATTATTATTGGTGTCGACGTATCGATATCGGTGTCATTTTTGCGGTGTCAGTGCTTCATAGAATGATTACCACTAAATAAAGAATTTGAAAAAAATGCTAACTTTAGTAAAGGAAATGTAGAATATACTATACTGCTTCCTGTAAACCCAAAATCACAGATATTGATCCCAAGACCCTAAATCCCCAAAACTAGATCTAAATTATTCTCCATGGCAGCAAAAATTCAAACTTTTTTACCTTCATTCTCTGTTCCAACCTCAAAACCTAAACCACGCTTCCACTTGGTTACTATTTCAGCCTCAAATTCCACCCGTCCATCCATCTCCGGCCGCAAGCTCCGAGCAGCAGTGATCGGCGGAGGCCCTGCCGGATCCTCAGCCGCTGAAGCACTAGCAAGCGGCGGAGTGGAAACCTTCCTTTTCGAGCGCAATCCTCCATCAACACCGAAGCCGTGCGGCGGAGCAATCCCTCTCTGCATGCTAGAAGAATTTGACATTCCTCACCACCTCATCGACCGCCGCGTCACACAAATGCGGATCTTCTCACCTTCAAACATCGCCGTCGACTTCGGCAAAACCCTAAAACCGAACGAATTTATCGCCATGCTCCGCCGCGAGGTTCTCGACTCATTCCTCCGTTCCCGCGCCGAATCCGCAGGTGCAACACTCATCTCCGGCCTAGTCACCTCCCTCAACCTCCCAACCTCACCAACCGCACCCTACACTATCAACTACACCACAAAAAACTCCCCTCGAAACTCCCTCGCCGTCGACGTTGTCATCGGAGCTGACGGCGCCAACAGCCGCGTCGCAAAATCAATCGACGCCGGCGACTACACCTGCGCGATCGCGTTTCAAGAACGAATCAAATTATCGGACGAGAAAATGAAATACTACGAAAATCTCGCCGAGATGTACATAGGAACCGACGTGTCACCAGATTTTTACGCGTGGGTTTTTCCCAAATGTGACCACGTAGCAGTGGGTACTGGTACGGTACGGTCGAAACACGATATTAAGATGTACCAGCGGGCAATAAAAGAAAGAGCATGGTCCAAGATCAACGGTGGAAAAGTGATTAAAATTGAAGCCCATCCAATCCCAGAGCATCCTCGCCCTATTCGGGTCAGAGGACGCGTGGCATTGGTAGGAGATGCCGCGGGTTACGTTACGAAATGTTCGGGTGAGGGTATTTATTTTGCGGCAAAATCGGGTCGAATGTGCGGAAATGGTATCGTTAGGGCATCAGAAGGTGGTGAGAAAATGATTAACGAGTGTGATTTAACGAGGGAGTATCTTAAGGAGTGGGATGCGAAGTATGTTAATACTTTTAGGTTTTTGGATTTGTTGCAAAGGGTTTTTTACGGTAGTAACGCGTCTAGGGAAGCTTTGGTGGAGCTTTGTGGTGATGAGTATGTGCAACGTATGACGTTTGATAGTTATTTGTATAAGAAGTTGGCGCGTGGGAGAGTGTGTGATGATGTTAAGCTTTTTATGAATACTATTGGGAGTTTGGTGAGGTGTGGTGATGTAGGAACACATATGAAGGGTTTGATTTTGTAGAGATCTTTGCCCTACATTGTTGGTTGGTTCTTTTCTATGTAATTTCAATTTGTTTTGGTTAGCGCCTTAATTCCACTTTGCAATAAATTGTTGGTTCTTTTCTATGTAATTTCAATTTGATTGTTTGTTTTAGTTAGAGTTTAGGGTTTAGGCCCTTAAATTTTTTTTCTCAATGATGAGTCTCCTACATGATTCAGTTCATCCAAAACAATAATTTATAAAAAATGGCACATTCAATAAATTACATACTGAAATAATTCAAGGGCTAAATGCAACAATTACATTGAAACAAACAAAAACATACTCATTTGTCCATCCAAATTACACATCTGAGACACTCTCCATTAACCAATAAATCAAAAGCTTTGTTGATGTCTTTAAACTCCACCTCATGTGTAACAAACTCGTCCAACATCAGTTCCTGTTAATAATTGGAGAGAAAAATTCAAAAAATTTGTTGTCATTATCATTTTCACAATATGGTATCAAAATAAGGGAAGATAACATAAACTTGAATGAATAAAATTGCATAGTACCTTGTCCATGTAGCGTTTAAGAAGAATAGGTACATCAGATTTGGGTTTGAGTCCTCCATATAAGGATCCCATGAGAGTCTTCCCTTGAACAAGGACCCCATTACAATTAAAACTCAACATGGATTCTGGCTTGTCCACTCCTAACACAATTGTTTTTCCCCAACCCTATAGAAAAAACACAAATTTTCAATTCATGCTTTTAACAAGTATATGCCGCATTTAATCAAATTTTATTGAAAATTTTACACAAATGAAGAATAAATTTTCAAATTAGTTAGTTCAAAACCAAACGTTACATTGGCCCCGAATATATCCGGATTCAAATCCCTTAAATAAGATATCAGATTCGAGTCTCGTGGATAAAAAAATCTGGTTATAAGAGAAGACTTCACTAAAAGTGGTAAGACGTAAGACAGACATTAATCATCGATAAAGTCATATAGAAACAGACCTTTCTACATGAAGCATATGCTTCTTGCACCAATGATGCCATACCAACACATTCAAAACAATAATCAGCTCCACCATCAGTCATCTCTATGATAACCTGACTCACAGATTTGTTTTCACATTCTCCAGAATTAATGAAGTCTGTTACTCCAAATTTCTTTCCTGAAATCCATGAAATTAAACATAAAGAATAATAATCATAGCTTCTAAATTAAATTAATATAACATTATTTTATTTGACTTTATGCTAAATGTGGTGATGTTATTGAACTAATGTTGCATTACCAATGTCAAATTTTTCTGGCTTGATATCCACACCTATTATCCTAGTTGCTCCACAAAGTCTAGCTCCCTCAGCAACCTAGGAAACCATTCAATTGCAATGAGCATTGTAGTATGCAAATAAGTGCTTATATAAATAAGTAATTTCAAATAACTCCAAAGTGTACAAAAGGAAAACATAAACTGTGGAGAATCCATACTGCTAATCCAATACATCCAAGTCCAAAAATAGCTACTGTAGAACCTGGCTCCACATTTGCTGTTTTCCAAGCAGCTCCTACCCCTAAACAATGAATGTTAGATCAAAATATTGAATCAGATGAATTTAAACTATATGCAGTTTGTCTACAAATCCTAATTCAACTGACAGAAATCAATATTGTCAGGTTGAACATTATCATCAGGGTTTAGCCCCTGATATTCACGGTTGTGTATGTGAGTTTCTAGTTATTATTATTACTTTGTATGTAGGCAGGAAAAAAATTCATATGTGGTTCAGTTTAGTTTGATTGAATCATTTATAAATCTAATCGGATCCAATTAAATATGATTGATCCTCGTCGTCGATCTCATACCTGTTGATACCCCGCAACTGAGGAGGCAAGCCCTATTAGGAGGAATTGCTGGATCAATCTTGAGTAGATTGGCAATGTCAACCACAGTGTACTCACTAAAACTAGAGACAAACATGAAATGGTGTATAATATCTCCATTTAGATCAGTGAATCTTGTTGAGTTAGCATATCTAAGCATCCAAGGTGAAATTTGGAAAGGAAAGTTTGAACAAAGGTTGCTCTTTGTTGATTTGCAATCTATACACTCTTCACAATCAGCAAGGAAGATTGGAATAACAATGTCTCCTTTTGTAATTTCTGTTACTTCCTCTCCAACACTTTCCACAACCCTGTATCACATCAAAATGAATTGAAACTTGAACATCACCAATCTCTCGTCAAAATATATAGACTATTGACTCACTCACTCACTCACCCAATTGCTTCATGACCAAGAATCCTTGGAAATATTGCAGGAGGTTCCTTCAAAGTCAAAACATTCACACAAAAATGCATATTAAAACATTATCAGAATTTCTATTGAATAACTAATTTATCTGATCTATATACTAACCCGCATTTTCCAAAACGTGATATCGCTATGACAAAGAGAAGTGCATACGATACGAATCCGAGCTTCGCGTGGCATTGGTGGTGCCACAAAGATCTCCTCAATAATCAATGGCTCCCCGGGTTTGCGACAAACCGCCGCTAAAAATTTGCAACATATACACATGAAACTTATTATTATCAACAAATAACACTGTTGAATTGAAAGTGTAAAGAAAAATTATCGAAAAGAAGGTGGAAAGACACACCTTTACATCTTATGGGTTGTGGTTGTTCAGTAGATGTTGTTACTGGTTTATTAGCTTCCATGGTGATGAGTTGAGTTGATTCAGTTGAATCAAATAAAGACAAAAAAGGATTTTTTGGTTGGAGATAAATGAGTGAAAGATCAATAATATGGAATGACTAAAAAAGCATCTTTGGTTAGGTGGATTTTGAAAGCTACCAACTAAACTAAGACTGGACATGACATGATGTCACGTGTAGAATTGATATTATTTTGATGTGATCTTGTAATCAATCTCATTTTAATTACATGTTGCTGGACTTCGACTTAGATTACATGTGGAATTGATATTTTTACTTTAAAATAACAAGTGGTTGTTTGTTGATGCTATAAAATATGTGGATTTTTTTTTTTAATATATTAAATCATATCGGTTCAAAATCCATAAAAATTTATAGATAATTTTTATTAATTTTAATAAACAAAATTATTATCAATACATAATAATAATGAAATGAAAGAAAGAATTAGGATTTGACGAAATATAGAAGAAGATAATGATTTTCTACAGAATTTCTCTCTGTTCATAAACTGTGAAAAAATCTTATTCACTTTGCAGCTGCAAAATTATGTGAATACAAGTTCTGAGTGATTACAAAAATAATGGTTACTCCCTCTATTTATAATGAATTTGTTTGCTCTCTAAGGCAATACACAAAATACAAAAGCCCAAAATACATAATTCCGCTAACACTACAAAATTAAGTCTAAGTCGAAATACCTGTCGAGGCTACTCCTTCGATATTTCAACTCACACTAGACTAGACTATTTCGACACAATCTTCCTTCTGACGAGCAACCTGTTTCGACACAAGGAATTACAATCTGAATACACCACCTAATTTATTGTGCCTAAGTTATCTACATTCATCATAGCTCTTAGTCTTCTGAACACTTCGACATACACTCTTTTTGTCATTATGTCTGCAATTTGATTCTCATTTCTGTAGTGTTCCAAGTTCAGCTTTCCTTTAGCTACCTGCTCTCGAAGATAATGGAACCTCATTTCGATGTGTTTGCTTCGACCATGTGCTATTTGATTCTTCGCTAGATCGATAGCTGACATGTTGTCGATATTCATAGTAATCTCCACGATTCTTCCATGTTACCTCTTCGACCAGATTCACTGTCTATGTTGCTTGACATGCACAAAGAGAAACAAATATGTACTCTTCTTCACATTGAGCATAGTGCCACTACTGGTTCTTTTCTCAACCTCCAAGCAACTGATACACCACTTAGCATAAACACATAACCAATTGTGGATTTTCGATCCTCAATATCACTACACCAACTTGAGTCGATATACCCTACTAACTAGCACTCTTTTCCTCTATTAACTGCAGGAAATAAAATTCCATAGTCGAGAGTTTCTTTGAGATACCTCAGTTGCATGAATCTACTTACCATACCTACATTGTATGCTAAGTCAGGCCTTGTGTGACAAAGGTACCTTAATGACCCAATAAGTCTTCTGTATTATGTTGGGTCGACATCATCTTCATCTGAGTCTTTCGACAGTTGCAGTCTTAGTTCAGCAGGTGTCGAAGTCGAGTTGCATTCTTCCAACTCAAATCTCTTGAAAATTTCACTTGCATATCTTCTTTGATGCGTCATCAATCCTCTACTACTTTTGTAGAATCTGATGCCAAGAAAGTATGAAATGTTGCCTAGATCAGACATTTCGAATTCCTTATTGAGATCACTTTTGAAGTCTTCGATCTCCTTCTTGCAACTATTTGTTATCAACAAGTCATCGACATAGAGACACATATACTCCATATTCAATTGTGAACTTCACAAATTCCTTCTCCCTTAGAAAGCTATTTATCTTCTTATTCCAAACTCTTGGAACTTTTTAAGTCCATGCAGGGTTTTATGCAGCCTGTATACCTTTCTTTCTTCGTCTTGTTTCATAAATCCAACTGGTTGTGCAACATAAACTTCTGCGTCTAAGGGTCCATTTAGGAATGCACATTTCATGACCATCTGATATATGTGCCAACTATTCATTTCTTCTAGACCAAGAACCAACCTGATTGTTTCAATTGTAGCAACAAGTACAAAAACTTCATCAAAGTCGATTCCTTCTTTCTGAAGAAATCCTTTCACCACAAATCTTGCCTTGTATCAAGTTACTCCCCCTTTGGTATTTAACTTCATCTTGTATACCTATTTTACATCAATTGCCTTCTTTCCTTGAGGCAATTTGATAAGTGACCAGGTGTTGTTGACTTCAAGGAACTTCAATTCATCACTCATAGCTTTCACCCACTTAGAATCCTTCAATGCCTCAGCTGTATTGACTGGTTTAACATCTGCATAAAAAGCATGGTGTACCAATTCACCTTCATCATCAACCATATCATCTGATGTAATCACACATTCCTGCAACTTTTCAAGCATACGTCTTGTTCTTTATGGTCTGCTTGTACCTACTTCACCTCTGACTTCTTCTTGTCGAACTTCTTCTCTTTCGATTTCAATGGTTGGTTTTTCATATAAGATTCTCACTGATTCTTTGTTCATATTTTCAATCCAATCTCATTCCTTAAGTTCATCTCTGATCACCTCCCTACTGATCACTACTTGCTTGTTCACTTGTCTAACAACTTGTATCCTCCAATCGAATGATATCCTATTAGAATCATTTGACTCGGCTTGTCATCAAGTTTTCTTCTCAAGTGACCTGGAACGCGTCTATGTGTTATAGATCAAAACACTTTCAGGTGACTCAAGCTAAGTTTTACACTATACCAACATTCTTCTAGCGTAATTCTGTTATAACCCAAATTTGTCATACCCCTGCTGATTTTATCTTCCAAGATTAGAATAATAAAGAAGCGTTTAACTAAGGGTGGTACAACAATATCTGATGGCCCATTCTTAATATTTAAGTCAATCAGAGGTGTACTTTTAATTCAGGAAAACAGGGCTTTCTAAATCAGAAAGACTCGCGTATCCGTGAATCCATCCGCGAGACATATTGGCCATTGGCCCATGCGATTCGTAAATGGAAATTAATAGAGTAACTGTAAAATTCTAAATTATTAAATGGTCGTTGGTGAAAGGGATGTTGAAATTAAATCTGCCCGTCTTATTGCTACCGTCAAACTTATATTCAAATTTGGGTGTTACAGATATAAAATTCCTTTGATTTAATTATATTAACATTCTGAGTTTTAATAATAAAAAATTGCTTTCAAGTCTTGTTTGTAAATATAATAATTATTTGTATTTTTGTAAAAAAATAGAAAATAATCGTTCACTGTCATATACTTTCAATTGACTTTTTACTTTCGAATAAGTAACATAGCGTAGTTGGTAAGTCGGAAATACTAACAAGCAGAAGGTCATAGGTTTGAAACTCACTTGGTGCACTTTGGATATTTTTGTTGTTACTAACTTTATTTTCATTTTCTAAACCACAGAAATCATATTTTCATTATTAAATTATTATTTTCATATTTAATTATTTATTATATTTTAAAATATTATTTTTTATTAAAATATTTATTTTTTTAAAAAATAGGCAAAATAAGTTATAAATAGATTAAAATTTAATTTGGGCCTTTTATTCACTTTGGGTTAGTTTTCTCTCCAAGTTTTTAACCTAATTTTCACTACAAAATAACTTGTGTTTTGCCACGTGAAAGCCACGTCGCTAACACCCAAATCACGCCACTATTCAAATTTTGCCACCTTAAGAAACACGTCGCTATATAGCGCGTGGCAATCTTGTTGCGGCGTGAAAAGCATGTCACCAAGTTGCCACGTGAAATTCACGCCGCAACATACTGTATAGGATGAAAGTGTGCAGAGTAGAGCAGAGCAGTCACATTTATATTTACGTTAGCTGTAGCGACGTGTTTTTCACGTCACTAATTAGTGACATGAAAAACACGCCGCAACTTGTTTTATTTAAAAAATATATATTTTGTGTTTTAAATAAATTAATTCTATTTTAATAATTAATATTATTTTTTGTTTTATTAAATTTATAAATTAAATATTATAATTTATTTATTAAATACAATATTATAAATCAAATTATCAAAAACAAAACTAAATATATCTAAATGTATAAATAAATATACTTAATATTATAAATTTAATAAACTCAAATTTAAATTTATAATATTTTTAAATATACAATATGATTATAAATTTATATTACACAAATAAAAAACTAAATACAAAATAAAAATAAAACTAAGCAGAATCATTAGAGTCGTCGAAAATGTCGGGAAGAAAGTCATCGTTATTTTGGTGGTTATTATTTTGGCCACCACTGTTGGGATTTCTACCAAATGCTTGCATAAATTGTCGTATTTGCTCCTCCATATCAGCTTGCCTCTTCGCCATTGCCTCAATTTGTCTATTATGTTCACCCCGCATTGCCTCCATTCGGGCATCCATTTGGGCCTTCAATGCCGCCTCACGATCTTCAGACTCGCGTCTAGCCAATTGTCTTACCAGTTCTAACTGATCTGGTGTCAAATTTATTTGACGTGACCCTCCTTCACCGTCTGTAGCTCTCTGATACAGATTTCTATCCCCACTCCTCAACGTGCCCGCCAAATTTCCACCACCAAAAAAACACCCGTTAGGCCCCTTTCCCCCAACAACTTGACTCCAAATATAGAAATCCACACCTGGATGAACCAGTTTTTCTGGAGGAGACGTATACTGAGGATTATGGGTCAGAAATTCTACAAGCAACGCCTGATAATCCTCCTACACATACAATAAAAAAATCAAGTTAAATTTATAAGTAACATTAATGAAATTAAATGAAATAAAAAATAAAATAAATAAATAGCCACGTGATTGTAACGCCACAACTTATCAGTTGCCACTCAATTTTCACGCCACAACATGTCACTTGCTACATGAAAATCACGTCACAAAATTGCTTAAAAAAAATATAAACATAAATTTACTTACCAGGGCTTTTTTTGTGCGCTCGTCAGTAAATCCTCCCAATTTCTTTGTCAGAGTCTCCTTAACCAGCTCAGTCATC